GGGGACTGAAGTCTCGACAAAGGAGCGGCCACTTTCGAGTATGACTCGACGAAACGCTGATAATATCCAGCCAATCCCATGAAAGAGTGTACATCCGTCGTGCAACGGGGTTCCGGCCAATCCACGATGGCTTGGATCTTGTCCGCTAAGGGACGAATGCCTTTCGGCGTGACAAAATGGCCTAAGTACTCAAGCTCTTGCTTAGCGAATTCGCATTTGTCGAGATTCGCTTTGTACTTGGCAAGTCGCAAACGATTCAAGACAACGCGAAGGTGTATCGTATGCTCGTCCAACGTCCTGCTGTAGACCAAAATATCATCAAGGTAAACGAGGACGCTGCGATCGAGCAAGTCGCGAAACTCAGTCGTCATTGCTGCTTGAAACGTAGCGGGGGCATTGGTGAGGCCAAATGGCATGACAACCCACTCAAAATGCCCATACCGCGTCTTGAACGCAGTTTTGTACCTGTCTTGAGGCTGGATTTCAATCTGGTGGTAACCTAACCGCTCAAGGAGATCATCAATCCGAGGGAGAGCGCCGGCGTTCTTTACGGTTTGACTGAAGTCTCGACAAAGGAGCGGCCACTTTCGAGTATGACTCGACGAAACGCTGATAATATCCAGCCAATCCCATGAAAGAGCGTACATCCGTCGTGCAACAGGGTTCCGACCAATCCACGATGGCTTGGATCTTGTCCGCTAAGGGACGAATGCCTTTCGGCGTGACAAAATGGCCCAAGTACTCAAGCTCTTGCTAAGCGAATTCGCATTTGTCGAGATTCGCTTTGTACTTGGCTAGTCGCAAACAATTCAAGACAACGCGAAGGTGTATCATGTGCTCGTCCAACGTCCTGCTGTAGACCAAAATATCATCAAGGTAAACGAGGACGCTGCGATCGAGCAAGTCGCGAAACTCAGTCGTCGTTGCTGCTTGAAACGTAGCGGGGGCATTAGTGAGGCCAAATGGTATGACAACCCACTCAAAATGCCCATACCGCGTCTTGAATGCAGTTTTGTACCTGTCTTGAGGCTGGATTCGCGCCGCCTAACCGCTCAAGGAGATCATCAATCCGAAGGAGAGGGCCGGCGTTCTTTACGGTTTGTGCGTTAAGTTTTCGATAGTCGATGCATAACCGTAGGTCTTTGTTCTTCTTCCGGACGAAGAGAACAGGTGCACCGTATGGCGAGCAACTAGGGCGAATCCAGCCCTTGTCGAGAAGATCATCGAGTTGTGCGCGAAGCACCTCGAGTTCCTCTTCGCTCATGCGGTAGATACATCCAC